AAACCTCCTGTTGAGCAAACGAACACTTCTCGGGTTCAGCTTCAAGCCTGCTCGGCGGAATCATGCTAACACTTCGTTCAGGCACTCGCAAGTGATCCTCGAACGTTGTTGTGAACACGATTACGTCATCAAGATATGCTAGGCAAACATCCCAGCCTACTCCAGCAAGCATGAGTTGTACCAAACGTTGGAATGTGGCCGGTGAGTTGGAAAGTCCGAAAGGAAGAACTTTGAACTGATACAACCCATCTGGAGTAACAAACGCAGTCTTAGGGCGATCGGAAGGATGAACTGGTACTTGCCAATAAGCGCTCTTCATGTCAAGGGTGGAGAAGTAGGCAGCTCCAGCAAACGCGTCTAAAGTATCATCGATTCTCGGTAGCGGATGGGCATCAGGCACAGTGACGGAGTTTAACTTCCGGTAATCAACACAGAAACGCGGGGTTCCATCTTTCTTGGTAACCATGACGACCGGAGATGCCCAGGGACTGGAACTAGGTTCGATGACATCATTTTGGAGCATGTCTGACACTTGATCACGGATTAACTGACGACGATGAACAGGGGTGCGATATGGTCGTTGTTTGATTGGTTTTGCGTCTCCCGTATCGATATGATGTTCAACGAGATGTGTACGACCTCGATCAGAAGAATCGAAAGTAAAACAGTCACGGTTACTCTCAATCAGTTTAGTGAGGCGCACTTTCTGGTCGGATGGGAGTGAAACGTCTGACAGGTCGATAACAGGTAAAGACGCACCTTAGGTTTAGTCGATGGCAAAGGAATGGGGTCAGTCTCTTCAGCGATTCCGTAGTCTGAATCAGGGATTTCCGTTGTGTGGAAATGGCCAATCGAACAGTTCTCTGGTAGACGTACAGGGTGATTGTTTGTGTTCAACACCTGTACAATGGAACATCCCTGTGAAGCATTAGCTACAGTCCGGGCAGCGGCTACTCCTTCATACGTCGGTCTCAATTTGTCGGGTTCGAATACACCGACGAAGTCAGGAAACATAGCGCCGTCTTTGGTGTGCAGTCTGACCGGTACGGTTGAAACAGAGTTTGCCGGGAGAACAATGGTCTTGCACACAGTCACTTCAGATACACGTGGTGTCATTGATGCTCGTGGAAGCAGGGGAACGCTTGACTCTCCAATACGAACAGTACCAGCAGATGGTTCAATGCTAACAGCGTGAGTCTGGCAGAATGGCCAACCGAGGATAACACTACTAGTCGCTCCCTTGACTACGTAGAAAGTTTCAATTGTGGAGATAGGACCAAGCTGTACCGTAGTACTAATGAGACCTACCACGTTGATGCTTTCACCATTCACTGACTTTGCAATCCTTCCTGACTTGTCTAATGGCATGGAACGAAGAGCCGGAGTCGAAAGACGAAAGTCATCGCTGATAATGGAGATGGACGAACCGGTGTCTAGAAGAGCCTGTGTTGACGCGCCTTTAATCTTTATATGAACAGTCGGAGAACATTCTGTCGGGGAATCTTGAGGTGTAGCTGGCTGTCGGCGCCCACAACCAGCTAAAGCCCGTTTCCCGAAGGGGTAGGACAAGCTGCCTCAAAATGTCCATAGCCATGGCATCTGTAGCATTGCGCGTCGGCGGGAACAGATCGGCGTCGTCGTTGCTGAGTGGTCGACGATGGCTCACGGCGACGATCAGCGGGAGAACTGTTGGACACTGGTGGAGGTCTTGAACGTTGGTTGCTAGAACGGTTGACGGCTTGATTCTTGAGAAGATCCACGACTTCTGCCAGTTGCGTCGCCAGGGAGGCGACAGTAGTAGCCAGGTCACGATCCGACGGCCCGACGGACACTCGTGCGGCTGAAGGGTACGCCTGTGCATCCCGGGCGGCAGATGTCCGCACCTCCTCACACAGGGTAGCTTGACGCACAGCAGCGTCGACGTCGGCCGGCGCGAAACCCATAACTCGGTATTTCAGGTCAGGGTCCAACCCGGCGAGGAAACGGTCAAGCGCCACTCCTGCCCGGGCGGCGTCGTTATATGTCGGATAAGCCAGCCGTACCAACCTTCGAATCTCGGCAGCGTAGACCGGCAGACTTTCACCAGGATGTCGGGGACGGGCGTTGGCCGCTCGCCGAAACTCTTCCAAAAATACAGGACGTCCGAACGGTCCCGCCATCGCCTGTCGTATGAGGGTCAGGTTAGCCTTCGTCGCTACCGGGAGCTCTGAGTAGAATCCAAACGCTGGGCCAGTAAGGAAAGTCGGAAAGCTCCGCAGCTGGGCGGCGTCGTCCAATTCCTGGGCTGCAGCCCACACGTCAAATTGTTGCGACCATAAATGGAAATCGGACTCTCCATCAAAGGAAGGTGGAAGTTTACTACGGTACTCAGCCATTTCGACGTAAAATACGCGGTGATTCCCGCAGGAAAAACACCGCTGCCACCAAAATGTAAAGATAGACAACCAGTCACGGTGAACGCTCAAACTCAACTGGTTTATTCAATCTGCAACCGGCCGGTTCTAGAGCCCCTTCCCTCGAACGGTACCGGTATAGATCACCTGTTCGAACACGACGCTGGCACGTGCGCTGGCACGTGTTCGAACAGGTGACCGCGGCTCCGCCCAAGGGAGGGGATAGAACCGGCGTTAATACAATGCTTAATAAAACTAACAATACACATTGTTACAGCACTAAAAGATATTTCAAGAATTACAACTGTAAGACACACCTTCTCTGACCAGGCTGAAGAGCAGAAAGACCATCAGGCCCATCCGTAGGACCAGCAGCAGGACCTGGCCTTCATGGTGGATCCTGAAGATCACCAGCTCTGTTGCCGTCGAGGCACGCCCGGTGATGTGGAACTCTGTCGTCACGGTGACCACAGCGAAGAGGTTGGCGTGAGGATTGTAGAGAACCGCCTCCGTGAAGACCGCCCGGGTGCGGTTGTCCAGCCAGTCATTGGACCGGAGATGTGTTAGGGTCTGGTAGCTGTCTTTCATCGTCCTACCCAGGGTGGCGATGTAACCACCTCCAGGGTACACGCCGTGCTCCCCAACATGCAGGAAACCTGGGCAGATTGTGATGTCAGGGCTCAAAATATTACATGTGCACCTACATGTATAGTGCACCCAAAATTGGAGCTGTGTACCCATTCTTTTTCTGTAGGAGCACCCAAATATTTTTGTACATTTACATCATATTATATGCAGGGCTCAAAATCCTTTTTTCTGCTCACCTGCACCACTGCAGGTAAAATTGTCATTGTTTCTTTTATAGTTCATAGGTGGTAACAGTGAATGCAGCAAATAAAACATACATTAATTTTGTATAATATCAACAGTACATGGCCTAGTGCAGGTTAGGTGCAGGTAAAAATCTGAAATACCTGCACAGCTCCAATTTTACCTGCACTTAGGTACATATGCACCCAGTATTTTGAGCCCTGTATACTAGTATACAGCATATCTTGACATCTACAAGTGTCAGAAACATTCAGATTGAAGCTCAGAAGGTTTGTAAATAGGTTTTACTAACAGTAATTGACTATTTTATACAATGCAGCCAAAAAAATTTGTGCCCCCAATTTTTTAGGTTGGGTGCACCAGTGCACCTATTCCCAAAAATGAATTTCAAGCACTGTGATGTGAACTTAAAGGCAATTTAATCTCATAGCTTTGTTGAGGCTGCAGGGGCAATGGTTTGATAATCCACTGTGTCTAGGGTGCGGTTTTGGAGGGCACAGCTCAACCCTTTCCTTCCCCTTCCTTCCCAATCAACCCCAAGTTCATTTTTACACCTACATGTAGTTGGAGGTTGGTAAAGTTTTATTTTGGAAATGGATGAAAATACATGGGCACATGGATATCATTGATTTCGTATTTTAATCAAATCAACTAACCGTTATTGATATCCCCATACGTGTAGTCCCATGGTGAAGTCCTGTTGTCAGTACTGTTGTTATGATCCGCTGCCACCCCCCAGCTGCCACTGTAGCTGCCTGTGTCCACTCTACTTGCAGAGTACTCATCTAGACAGCTGGCTGCGACGTGAGCCATGGCATCAGGAACGGTGCAGTCTTGTTCTGGAAGTAAGGGAGTCAGAATCAAGTGTAACTCATGCAATGACAAGGATTCATAAATAGTTTCAACAGGTTCAGGTAATGTCAATTCACCACTCTAGCTTCAGACTAATGGCACTATACTGCTTTCCAGTTACTAAATGAATCTGAAAAAGGAATTTCAAAGTACATGTATACTGTTTTAAGAAATAAGCAAAAATTGAAGCACTAATCTTGTTTCAATCCAGATCTAAACTTAGTTCAAGTGTTATCATGAAAGTCCATCTGTGTTGGTAGTAATCATAGTAAAACATTGAACTTTATTCCAACACACAGGTGAGCGATCAAATTTTCGACGACCACTGTCGCCTTCATCAGGATAATTAATGACCAATCACTTCACAACGTCATCTCGCGAGAGTTACGGTTTACAAACACGTGACCTTATTCACATGAGACTTTACTGATACATGATGTTAGCAATTGATCAAAAGTGCCAGGGAGTTTATATCGTCCACAATCTCTAGCCATATATATCAGAGCACTTCAGCCTTCACTTAATAGAGATGGTGTTGGAATAAAGTTCAATGTTTTACTATGATTAGTTCAAGTGAGTTTGCTGGTGTGTTACACCGAAAAGTGGTTATACTGGCTATACCGATACAGATACAGAAGTCAAATTATGCACTACTTAAAAGAAATGACATGATGCTGATATGCAGAAAGGCCATAACCTTGTGTGATGCGGATTTGTCGTAGTTGTAAGGGGGAGATGGCGTGTGTGAGGTGCTCAGACAGAGTCAGATCTTCCTCACACGGCCTCCCGTTGTACCAGGCTGGGCTGTGGACAGCAGGCAGGACGTCCTGCTCCAGCCATGTCCAGTATGACGCAGGGTCAGATATCTGGGGAAGGGCAGAAAGCCACAGGACCACAAATCATCAGATTGGTTGAATTATCAAATCCAATTGTGGCATCTGTGTGGTGTAGTGGATAGAGCATCCAACTGTCAAGCAAGGGGACCCAGGTTCAATCCCCAGGGTTGGACCCAGACATGTCTGGACATGCACCCAGGCGTTGTGCCCTTGGGAAAGGCACTTAACACGTATTTCCCCCCTCAGTTAAAGGGATCCTAGGCCCTACTAGGGTTTGGGTTGGCGTTAGGAAGGGCATCCAGCCGTAAAAAATCTTGCTCAAAAAAAAGACTTGCATTTGATGCAAGCACGTCTAACCCCGGTTTCGGGGAAAATGACGTTAAAATTGGATAGAAGAAGAATATGACACTGGAATTATAGAACTACATGTAGAGGGAGCAGAAACAGCTACCATAACCAAGAATGGGTCAGAGCCTGGCAGCATCAAAATATTAGAGGAGCAAAGGGCCAATACATTGAGTGCTTTAATTTGTTCCTTGCTGTGCTTTAAGTGGTACATATATATGACACAGTTTTGGTGCTATAAAATTGCAAGCAACAGAATGATGTGTTTCTTCCATGAACAACGTCATACATTGTATAATATAAGACATTTGGTTTCATCCATAAAATGAAGTCAGTGTGTCCTGATCCATTTGTACCGACCTGTGTGACTGTGTCAGTGCCTTGGAGAGCACTCCTGATGGAGTTGTTCATGTAGAAGGCCAGGTTGCTCCTCTCAGTGTAGGACATGAGCATGAGGACAGACAGGAACAGGCCGTACACCACCATCTCCCGCAGGATGTGGCGGCACCTCTTCCTCCTGACACAGGCAGCTCTGTCTCTGGTCAGGGTTTCACCAGCCAGGGGGGCTGTGGCAGCCACTTCAGCAGTGGGCTGTCATCAATGGACAATTTTGTTACAGGCAAAGTGGCAAAACAAAATTTATATAAAAAAATATTCTGGATGAGGAAATCATTTACTCCTAATTCTGATAAGCACATTTTCATCATCATTTTATATTTGATGCCAAAAAAGCTTCACTTTTGGGTACCACCAATAAATACAATGTAGCCAGAACCAGTCTACGACACAAAATATCAAATCAATGTGTAGATGTGACAGAGTGAAATTATTAACTAAATTCCACCATGCCATGCCTGCATGTAGTGACATGCCTGTGAAGCTGGGGTTGTAAACGAAGAGCTATCATGTTACATGTATTTTTAACTTTAACTCATTAAATGTGGTTCCCAAACTGTTTTTTCAGGCCATGTTTCAGAATGATGTTCACAAGAGATGATACATGTACCAGTAGGCTTGCCCAACATACATTTGGGGTCCTCAATGATTGCTTCAATGATTGCTAGTTTCTTTGTTTTTTTCTCATTTTCACCTGAGTGAAGTGAGGAAATAAGACTATTAGTAACTTAAAGGTACATTTACCTTTCCAAAGATTCAAACATTGAGGCTTGTTGGGGATTTCAACCCAGAACCTTTAACCCTAACCACAAAACCAGTGCTCATGACACCATAAAAAGTCATATACATACAAATATCGGAAGAGTACAATACAATATAGTCACTTGAAGTTTGTTCCAATCATGATGACTGAGAAATTGAGCCTGTACGGCCTTCTAAAAGTGGGTTTTTGGAGACTCTAGCAAGCTTCCCAATTGCCCACTTTGGGCATCTCTATTTGCATCTCTATGTTTTATTTTTGCATTTCTGTGCTTTTTCCTGAGCTAACATCACTGGGTGACATCAGAAAAAAATACAGACATGCAAAAATAAAATGTAGAGATGCAAATCACCTGCCAGTACTGGCTTGTGCTGACTTTTCCAAGGCAGGGCATTAGAATTTCAAATGTAACCGTTACAGGAGAACCATGCATATTTATCGTAAACGTGTCTGTTAGCCAGGTAATACTAGTTATGTCAATTACAATTCAGCTAGTCAGGTCATTTTTTGGTGTCATGAGCACTTTAATGCATGATGATCAGGCATTTGAGGGTTCCACACTCACCTGTTCAACCACAGCCTGTAGGTACTCTTCATCACCTGCCACTTCTGTAGGCGGTGGGTCATCTTCTGTTGTAGGTTTCTGAGACAAACACACAAATGTCAAAAAGCTCACACCAACTTAATGGCCATAGTCCATGGATTTTGCACGACTGAGGGTTTGAGACTGCAGTACCACTTTCAAACACTAGGAGGCATCATGTGATGGCCAGCAGGAATCTTTGGTTGCTTTGTCCTTGGTGCTGAAAGCATCGCCAATAACAGCAATTTTTGTTTCAAGTGTATAATGTGGCTGTTGAATGTCTTAGTAACATTTTCTTCAAAACAATATTGGATGGATGGAAGGATGGGTATGGATGCAGGGATGGATGGATGGATGGAGGGATGGATGGACGGGTAGATGGATGGAAGGATGGATGGATGAAAGACTGAGGGATTGAGACTGCAGTACCACTTTCAAACACTAGGAGGCATTATGTGATGGCCAGCAGGAATCTTTGTTTGCTTTGTCCTTGGTGCTGAAAGCATTGCCAATAACAGCAATTTTCGTTTCAAGTGTATAATGTGGCTGTTGAATGTCTAGGAAAGTTTTGCACTTATATAGCTATGTCTTAGTAGCATTTTGTCTACATTACAATGATTTCAATCTCATATTCTTTTGGAAGGCACCATCAGTAGAAGAAGTGGATAAGTATGAGCTACGCTCTATGACAGCTTCGTGCATTCTTCTCTAGACTGCCCTCAGATGAATGGAGTCTAATACCCCCTTCACATGAGAGTTGGAACGAACCGGATTGCTGTCTGAATGGAAATTCTTTTATTGTATACTTCTGGATAAGGCCACACTGCCTTAATTTTATGGATGACATCTGCGCGCGCATTGATTTTCGGCTGTTCTCAAAAAAAGAAAAAAAAAAAGATCACATCATTCAAGGCTCTGGCCTGGCTCTAGGCCTGTCTAGTCCATGGTAGCTTGCTACATAGGTACAATACGGAGCCAGTGGCAAATCTGGAGGATGGCATCCAGGCTTCCGAAGCTCCACGACTCAAGACCTCAGTACATACGTTAAGTGTCGATTCATAAGCCAACATGTGCCAGCTTGTCATATATGTCGCTATACACATGTTCTGCCGCAGATTCACAATACCAGCTTTTGCCTTTGTATTCCTGTGGTTTAGTAGCATTTTAATTTTTGGCCGGATTTTATTTTATTCGCCCGCGCACACTAGTTTGGGGGTCTTCGGAGGATGTCATCCGCAGAATTAAGACGGTGTGGCCTAATTGAAGTGAATTTTCACTTCTTTCCAAATATTTGTGCCCATTGTTCTGGGCACATAATCATTATGATATATGGTCGAGGTAGTTTCATGTGCTTAAGTATAGCAAAGAGCATTTAAAGTCTAATAATTCAAAGTGCAGTATGCCTGCATTCTGAAGAGTCATACAACTATAACATTTGTGCTCTCATGCCCTGTCGCTTCATATTTTCCTGAAAAAAATCTGAGAACCAATTATGTTAACAGATCAACTTGGTATGGCCTAATGAAAGAAATGTGAACTAGAAAAGTAACATTTGCAAAGCAAATACATAATATTTACCTTCGGACATGGTCTGCTCTGTTAATTCTTACTCAAACACATTCGCATACTACTAGTACACGGTTACAGGAACAGAGCAGACCATGAAATTGCAACATTATGTAACCCAACACCAGTCACTATGGTGACAGACGTAAACAAATCATGTCATTGGTCAGGTCAGAGTTCACTGTTTGGAGAAGAAGAAGAGGAAGAAACTGAGTAAAAACAATATGTGTAAACATAATAAAACAAGAAACATCCTTACCCGGATTAGTAAGCCCAGGATGACAGCGAGAGTCAGCACCTTGACTGGTTGGATCAGGATCAGGTCTGTGAAGAAGGACGTGATGAAGGCAGTAAACCACGCCTCCGCCTTCTCACGCCCGAAGTTCAGCGTGTACAGGACCGTGAAGTACGCAGCCACAAAGCTGACAGCGAACACGAGCAGTCCAGCTGGAAACAATCATGAATGAACAGAAACAGAGTTTTAAAAACAGATTTTTAAGCATTACTAGTATATCATAACATGCAGCTACTGTATACAGGAATGGATGACAAAGGGTAAATACTCCACAGTGTATTTTAGCTGGTACATGAATTTGTATAATAATATCAGTGTAACATTTCTTATCATTATAAATGTTTGGATGGATGGATGGATGGATGGATGGATGGATGGATGGATGGATGGATGGATGGATGGATGGATGGATGGATGGATGGATGGATGGATGGATGGATGGATGGATGGATGGGTAGATGGATGGAAGGATGGATGGAAGACTAAGGGTATTGAGACTGCCCACCCCTGGGACAGGGAAACCGGCAGCAGAATAATCTAAACCAGGATAGTGAGTGAGTGAGTGAGTGAGACTGCAGTACCACTTTCAAACACTAGGAGGCATTATGTGATGGCCAGCAGGAATCTTTGGTTGCTTTGTCCTTGGTGCTGAAAGCATTGTCAATAACAGCAATTTTCGTTTCAAGTGTATAATGTGGCTGTTGAATGTCTAGGAATGTTTTGCACTGATATAGCTAGGTCTTAGTAGCCTTTTGTCTACATTTTCTTCAACACAATATTGGATGGATGAAAAGATGTGTATGGATGGATGGGTGGTTGGATGGGTAGGTGGGTGGTTGGATTTGGATGGATGGATGGATGGATGGATGGATGGATGGGTGGATGGATGGATGGATGGATGGATGGATGGAGGGATGGGTGGATGGATGGATGGATGGAGGGAGGGATGGATGGATGGGTAGATGGATGGAGGGATGGATGGATGGATTGGTAGATGGATGGAGGGATGGATGGATGGTCACAGATTTAGGGTGGGACACAATAAAGGACAGCCGCACAGCAAGTAGACTCACATTACTTCAGAAAGCAAGACACTCAAAAACAGCCCTTCCGGTCAAAACCTTGTTGACGCCTATCCCGCGCCAATCGCGACACTTCAACTCCAACTCATACAAACCTCTAACGTTTCACAAAGACTGCTACAAATATTCATATTTTCCACAAACTGTCAGAGATTGGAACATTTTGCCCCAAGAGATAACTGATACTGCTGAACCCACGAAGTTCAACGCTGCAGTACTACAACACCTAAAGAAGCATCAATAGCGCATCGCACAGCTCCCCTGCACGCTTTACCCCAATCTAGGGGTGTTGTGCAGAACCCGTACAAGAACAAGAACAAGATGGTTGGAGGGATGGATTGGTAGATGGATGGAGGGATGGATGGATGGATGGATGGATGGATGGATGGATGGAGGGATAAATGGATGGATGGATGGATGGATTGGTAGATGGATGGATGGATGGATAAATGGATGGATGGATGGATGGATTGGTAGATGGATGGATGGATAGATGGATAGATAGATGGATGGATGGATGGATGGATAGATGGATGGATGAATGAATGGATGGATGGATGGATGGATGGAGGGATGAATGAATGGATGGAGGGATGGATTGGTAGATGGATGGAGGGATGGATGGATGGAGGGATGGATGGATTGGTAGATGGATGGAGGGATGGATGGATGGATTGGTAGATGGATGGAGGGATGGATGAATGAATGGATGGAGGGATGGATGGATGGATTGGTAGATGGATGGAGGGATGGACGGATGGATTGGTAGATGGATGGAGGGATGGAGGGATGGATGGATGGATGGGTGGGTGGTTGAATGGAAGGACGGAAAGATGAACTTTCTTGCACGATAATCATGTATGGCAACAACTATTAAAAACTACAAGTCACTGATGAAGAGTAGTGGATGCTACTTGAAACTGGCAGTTTTCAAATTCTATCCAGTTGCTTGAGTTAAACTGAGTTAACCCTTGCCGGTAAATATATGTCTGAGAACCAAGAAAATTAGATTGATGTTGCCTAAAGCTCTACAATGTGAGATATTTATTGTTAGAGATTGTTACAAGTAACAAACCACAGAATATCTACAACTCTATTGTGCCTGTTCATGTATCTCACATTAACAATACCAGATCTTCTGCACAGAATAACTGAAGATTACCCAAACCTAAGACGAACAGTAAGAAACGTTCATTCCTGTATCGTGCAATATTGCTGTGGAACTATCTTCCATATCATGTTAAGACACCGAGTAACCTACTCAGGTTCAAAAGAGCTATCACAAACAGTGTTACATGAACCTCAACCACTAGTTTTTAAATTGTTAATATCGATTTGTGTGTTCATTGTTGATGTTTTGATGTACTTAATATGTCTTTATAAATGTATTCACAGTGTATTTTCCATGTATGTGATTATGTAAGTTTGAGCCTTGAAAGATTAGCCCTGCAGGGCTAAAAGACTTTGAAATAAATGAAATTTGACTGTGTGCTCACCCACAGTTGCTGCCCACCATGGCAGGCGGCGTCCTGTTCCCTTTTCAGTGTCTGGGGATTTGATATCTGCAAAGACCAGTTGGAGTTGAAAAGTTGAAAACAAAGATTTTCTCACCAGCATGGGGACATTATAAATCACTAGAGCGACTTTTAATTACCAATAGATTCCATCTAATTTAATAGATTACATCTACTATCATGAAAGTTCATCTGTGTTGGTAGTTACATGTTTAAAGTTAAAACCTTTGGTCCAACACAAAAAAATTCTCTCACCTAGTCACTGGTCTTCCTCAGTAGACTGACCCAGTGAAGCTTGTCACGTGGCTTCTTTGAACCGCGATGGGGGCCGACATCGTCTACCAGATACTTTTGACCCAGTGTTGACGTCACACTTCAAATAAGCCACGTGACAAGCTTTACTGGGTCAGTCTACTGAGGAAAACCAGAGTGACTGGTCAAAAGCTCTAGGTGAGAGAACTTTTTGTATTGGACCAAAAGTTTTAACTTTAAACAGATTACATCTAATTCAACTCTTCTAAGTCCTACATATTTGTCTCAAAAAACTCAAATAACAAGCTACAATGTATATACAGACAATTCTACATTGCCAAATTTCACAACACTTCAAATTAGTGCTGCATTTATACAGGAAAAAAATGTAATTCTAAGGTCACAATTCTCAACCCAAGGCCCAGTTTAATAGGTTAACCTAGTTCTTGGAAACAAAAAGTAACTTTGTGTTTTGTTGTCTTTTATATAATTATAATAATTTATTATAATTATATAAAAGACAACAAAACACAAAGTTTTCAAACAAATCATTCATGAGCACCATTTGTCACAGACTGTACACTGGTCTTGACATGCATTGTTTAATTCTTCCTTCACATACATGTAAACAGCTTGATTGGGCCCTGGTTTGGAAATTGATTAAGCTGTGCTGTGGTCTATTATCAGGGCTGGAAATACTGGGTGCATGCGCACCTTAGTGCACCCAAAATTGGAGCTGTGCAACCATTTTTTTTCTGTGGGTGCACTAAGGTGCACCCAAATATTTTTGTAGGTATTTTTGTATTATCAACTGTATAATAGTATGCAGGATATTGTTGTCATCTAAGTGTCAGAAAATAATAAAATCTTTGTTGAAGTACTGTTTAAGATTTTGAAGTTAGCTCCCATTTTGGATTCAAGCCCAGAAGAGGAGCAGTAAGATCTGTAATTAGGTTTTGTTTTATATGGTACACCCAAAAAAATTTATGTGTACCTAATTTTTTAGGTTGGGTGCACCAGTACACCTATTCTCAAATATGAATTTCGAGCCCTGATCATTATATAAAATTTCCGAGTTTGTTAACCTTTAGTGTCATCAGCATGTTTTCTGACTGGTTTGCTGCTTGGTTTAGGAGCAGCATTCCTGTACAGCAGTACGATCAGGGCATTGAGGGGGACAATGATGACTGCACTCTGAACTGCAATCATGATCTGAGAAAAACAGAATCATACAGTCATGTATGTATAGTGATCAACCAAACTGTTATAGGTTCATGGCCATTTCCTTAACAAGAGTCAGTGTAGATGAGTGTTTACTTAATGGTCCAATCTAGAAACGTACTCGAGGCCGATGCACTGGGTTGCTTTATGTCACGGTTGCCAAGGGCTTCTCACGGAAGGGGCAAGTAAAAAAAGTAATTACAGAAAAAAATTCATAAAAAATCAACATTTAAAGATATTCAATAAAACTTGCGTGCATTTTTTGCTATTACTACTGTGCATCTCTTTATAAAATATGGTTAATAAAAACAAAGCGCTGGCCAGGGAAATTAATTTTTCTAAAAAATGGGCATGTCTTATAACTTGAAATGAGTCATAAAAATTTCAGACTAGTAGGAGGTTTAAAATCCTCCTCAACAAGAACAACCAGATGAATTACTACATACATTTTAAAACATAGGACAGTCTGGCCCTTTGTCATATTCAGATGGGTGTAAGGTAAATGTACAGTATAGTAGACTAAGTGACTTCAATAGACAAACCTGTGGAAGGGACACTGGAGGTTCTAAGGTACATGTACAATGTAGTAGTGTGTAATTCATAGACAAACTGTGGAAGGGAGACTGGAGGTTCTAAGGTACATGTACAATGACAGTAGGTGTATAATTCATAGACAAACCTGGGGAAGGGACACTGGGGCTTCTAAGGTACAATTGTACAATGTAGTAGTGTGTAATTCATAGACAAACCTGTGGAAGGGACACTGGAGGTTCTAAGGTACAATTGTACAATATAGTATATAGTGTGTAATTCATAGACAAACCTGTGGAAGGGACACTGGAGGTTCTAAGGTACATGTACATGTGTACAATGTAGTAGTGTGTAATTCATAGACAAACCTGTGGAAGAGAGACTGGAGGTTCTAAGGTACATGTACAATGTAGTAGTGTGTAATTCATAGACAAACCTGTGGAAGGGAGACTGGAGGTTCTATCTCCACTCCCATGATGCGGATGGGCTGTGGGGGGTCGAAGTTGTCCCCCTGCCCAAAGAACATGATGTTGGCCAGCATGGTGCTGTACACCGCGGACAGACAGCACGACAGCCGCTGGGTGCGGGTGAAGGCACTGCGAGCGGGGCGACCAACCACGGAGAAGAACAGGTGGCCGTCATGGAAGTCCCTGTCAATTTGTAAACAGTATGTATAGCAACTGTCAATTTGTAAACAGTATGTACAGCAACTGTCAATTTGTAAACTTAACAGTATGTACAGCAACTGTCAATTTGTAAACAGTATGTACCACAACTGTCAATTTGTAAACAGTATGTACCGCAACTGTCAATTTGTAAACAGTATGTACAGCAATTGTCAATTTGTAAACAGTATGTACCACAACTGTCAATTTGTAAACAGTATGTACCGCAACTGTCAATTTGTAAACAGTATGCACAGCAACTGTCAATTTGTAAACAGGATGTACCACAACTGTCAATTTGTAAACAGTATGTATACAGCAACTGTCAATATGTAAACAGTAGGTACATCAACTGTCAATATGTAAACAGTATGTACCGCAACTGTCAATTTGTAAACAGTATGCACAGCAACTGTCAATTTGTAAACAGTATGTACCACAACTGTCAATTTGTAAACAGTATGTACAGCAACTGTCAATATGTAAACAGTAGGTACATCAACTGTCAATATGTAAACAGTATGTACAGCAACTGTCAATTTGTAAACAGTATGTACAGCAACTGTCAATTTGTAAACAGTATGTACAGCAAAGTCTTTGCACCTCAAGGTCAGAGTAACAGTCACCAGTACATTAGCTGCATAAGACTGGATAGCCTTGCACTCGCTACAGGATTAATGAATAAATCAATGAAGATCTTTACATAGTACATGTACATACCCACTGGGTTAGGTACAGGTCACAAATGGAAGAATAGCTTGTAAATTTATAAATATATTATCGACTGTTTAGACATGTATACATTAAATACATTCACATGATCAAGCTGATACCATTATGAATAATTATAGTTTTACACAATTACTAAAAAAAAGTAAATTTGACTCGTAGTTCTCACAACTGACCATCATATTTCCAACTTTATTGCCTTCTCTCTATTTTTGACAGAATAGCAAAATTAGACAATGTAATAGGCATGTCATATTGTATTAAAATTACTAAATTACAGTAATTTGATACACATTGTATCCGTTACAATTTTTGTGTAATAAAACTTGAATTGGATAATCATTTGTTATAATCTCACTTTGCAGCCCTTTCGCTGATGAGGTTGGAGAGTACTGTCATCTCCTCTGGGGAGGCGACAAAGACCATACGGTCGATTCTGCCATCATCTTCATCTAGAGCTAGCCACCTGTAGGGAAGGACAATCATCTTAATAACTACAGTAGACTATGGCCCTGTTCATGTGAAGTCAGTGAAGGCACTTTACATGTGGTTACCCCCAAAGCCGGTTTCAAGTGGCTCCATCTGAACGCTCCAAATCACATTGAAAGCACCTCAATCCAAAACCACTTCTAGAGGTGGTTTCGAATTGGTTTTCCCGCATCGCGATTTGCGTCTGAACGCAATGTGATTTCAATGTTACAGTAACTTCGCCCGGTCATGGATTACGGGGTGATATTTTTTTATTTATATGCAATACCAAATTTTACGTGGCAGCAACTTAAAGAGCAGTAATGGTCAAATAATGTGTCCATTCTAGGACGAGCTTCACCGCATCTGACGGGACCACGTCAGCATTCAGCCGAGGTACGCTGGGAGGGGGGCACCAGCATGCAAGTCATTGACCTCTGACATTAATAACACATTACCTTGCGTGTTTCCATCAAACAACAGTGAACACAGTTTCGGAGAATCGTGATGGGGCACGGTTTGAAAGGAATGTATGGCACGTGTACCAGATGTGAGGAATGCAAGTTACCCGAATCGCGGTTCCCGTGGTTTCATATGAACAAGGCCTTTGTCATATTTGTGATGGTTTTATACAATCACACATCTATTTTGAAAGTTCATCTGTATTGGTAGCAACTGTGCCAAGTCATATTTAAAGCTAAAACTTTAATTTGTTCCAACACAAAAGGTAGATGTTCTCACCCAGAGCTTTGGACCAGGGCCAGTCTACTGAGGAAGACCAGAGTGACTGGCCATAGTCGAAAGTTTTGGGAGAGAATATCTAGTATACTAGTAGTACCTTTTGCTTTTACCATTAAACTTGTGGTGGTTTTATTTTGAACTGCCTCTCCACCACAAAAGCAATCCATTTTATGTGATTTTGTTACAGTATTGCTTTGAGCATGAACCTCTGAATCAGACATCACGAAACCTCTTTCCACTCCTTAAGAAATAGTACATACAATGACAGTACTCAATGTCGCCAGAAAAGTTAGTCGTAATAACAGAATTGGGACTCACGTTTTTGCACTAGAATGAAGTGTGCATAAAGGACACTCAAAATCATACAATACTGACAATATCTCTTGTAATACTTTGACATGCAATTTTCTGTAAATTCTGCGTACTTGTTACAGATGAAGTAGTCAAGCTGTCCTGAGCTCACATGTTGAATCACCACCTTACTCAGGTACCTGCAATGATAAGAAAGGTTTCTTACTTCACGTTAACCAGAAGAATTCTAAAAATCTTTCTTCCCTTTATCAGAAAAGTATTGTGTTTTTCTATCAATTCAGGTACATGTACATCTTGTTTAAGACAATCTATATTAAATATTTTGTAATTTTCTTGTTTGATTCAGGCAGAGCCCATAGACAACAACACAATAAACATATAATCTAAAAATACAATGTCTAGGAAAAAAAAAAAAGTGGTGGCTTATGGTCTGCGGACCAACTGCAATATCGATTGTTCCATAGTTGTACGCAGTACATGGGGAACATGTGCTACAAAGAGTATAACCTCAGCTTAACCTCAGCAGAGCAGTTGCCAAAAGTTCAGATTTAAGAATCACTTTTGTGTACAGCTGACGGGTTTGTTTATGGATGGAATTTGTGCCAATATTCTAACTATTATCATAATGTGACAGGGTATAATATGAAATGGACGACAGGGTGATGTTGTGCTAGTACTTGCTGTCAATTCAAATGTTGCATGCAAATCACTGCAGATATAGAATAACAGTCTGTGCAAAGTTTCGTCAAGTCTAAGAAACTTCTTCCTTGGTCAAAACAAAAGCTGCACTCTCCTAAGTGACTTTAATTTTTAGGGTCATATTTTGTTTCGTGAGAATTGCACACAACACAAAAATGTCTAAACCCTCTCATCAAAAACATGCATAAACAAATATCAAAACAATTATATACATCTGAAATGAACACAGGAGCAGCGATACTTAGAAAGTACAATGTGGAATGAGGAAAAGACTGGTGTACAAAATGACTAATAAACTGGTGGATGTACCAACCACTAAGATACCAGCCCAGAAAAGAACAAGAAACAGTCATGCCTTCAAATATCAGTTATATATTAGTTTAAGAATTGAGGTATTTCCCCAGAACTATCGTAGACTGGAACTCGTTGCCACCTGAAGCACAGTTGAGGCATCATCACTAGAAAGTTTTAAACAACTCCTGCAATCAAATGTGCAAAGATTGAGTGTAACAAGTCGTTCGGGTGTGATATAGCTAGCTGCCGCCGCGCCGCGTGCCTGCGAAGCTGGTGTGATACACCGAAGGGCGGTTATACTGGCTATACCGATACAGATACAGATTCAGAAAACAAGGAAATCTACCCGTACAAGAAATAAAAGACTTATTGTTGGGACAATTCAACTTCAGTTGTGGCTCACCATGCTGGGCTGTGGCCGGTGTTGTCGTGCCAGACATGGATGTGTGTGAGTGGTCCCAGGGGGTTCTCACAGGAGACCAGGAAGGAGTCCACACTGCCGCCCTGGAACAGCTGACGGCGGGCGTCCTGTAGGGCCAGAGGCTGGCTCTCATCACGGAAGCCGAACACCGTGATGGAAACCTGTGTTCAACATTTTACATAATATATTTTAATGGTCATTGCTCTCTGCAGAACTCACCCAACTAGTTCCACCACTGAGAACTTTTAAGCGTTCCACTGAGGTTCTCCACTAGCTCACACAACTTCACCCACCTTGAGTTTTCCAAATTCCTTGTTTGAAAGCTTTCTACAGTGACAGTTTCTTTCCCCGTACGGCCAAGCTTAATGGATTCCCTCCCTGACAAGTGTTTCCCACCAACCTACAATCTACAGGCTTTCAAATCAAACGTTCACCACCATCTCTTGACATAGCCATGTTTCTCTTACATTTTCTAGTTCAATGCCGAGAAGTGGTCGTATGGGCCTTGCATTGAACCACTCCGAAAAAAAATGTAGAGATAAACCAGTACATTTATCTGCCGGGTTAGGCCAGGCTGATTTGATTATGTGGCTGACATCCCTGCGTGCATAAATTTCCATCCTAAAAATTTGTCAACCATACTGCAAGTTGTACAAAGCAGCCGCTGCCAAATGAGCAAAGATAGGCCGTAAAATTAATTAAAATAGGTTTTGGAGAAACAATACTAGTGTCATAGAATGCAGAAATCAATTCCAAAGGAAAAAATTGAAGAAAATGTGAAAAAATGAAACTGCATGCATGAGTCGACAAGTTGTATTGCCTAATCTACCATACTCTGTGTGTTTAGTCATTAATTTTGTTCGACCTTCATGACCATGTAGAATTCATATTGAAGGCAACTTTTATATTCGCACACTCGTATCAGTTTTGGGGCTCCCAGAGGATGTCATCCATATAATCAAATCAACATGGCCTTACCTATAAAAACAAGTTACTATTGACCTATTTGTAAGTATATTCTCTCCCTGATTATGAATCTTTTTATATTTCTTATGATCATTATCATGCATACCGTACATTGATAAAAAAGTATATTCCAAGTACATTTGACAAATCCCTGATGCCTGACGTGTAAGGTTCTATAGATTGCAATTGGACTCGTCAACACTACATTTTGTCTGATTTAACCTGAATTATGCTTTCTTTGACAAATATAAAGTACCATACCTGTGCAGTGGTGCCGGCATCCAAGCGAAAGCCAGTGTAGACAGTGATTACGTAACGACAGTCAGGGTCAGGGTTCAATGTATGACCTGTTGGTGTGGTCACACCCACCTACATTGTACATGGCAAGATAAGAGCATCCAAAAAGTTACAAAAAATATATTATACATCATCATCATATTATACAGCAGGGTTCAAAATACTTTTTCTGCATACCTGCACTCCTGCAGGTAACATTGGAAATAACCTTCACCATTTTACCTGTACCGCTTTTAATAAAAGTAGATTTAGCTGGTAGCAAACAGTACAGAACACTTCTGTTTAATAATATTTCATGGCAGCTTATGAGAAATGTCACCTTGGACCCTCAAAACCCTTTTCGTCACTTTTTTATCACGGACCCCGGTCGAGGAACAACTGGGGTGTGCACCATTAATAATGGACAGGATAAATGCTTGTGTCAATGGGAAAAGTTATCGAAGGGTATCACAGTGACTGATACATTGGGTCACATTGGCCAGGTGGTCCTCAGGTAGACAGGGCCACTTGTGCAGGTTTGACTGTATATATGATAAGGCCACACCAATTTGATTTGTTGCTTCTCGGATTTTTTCAGAAAAAATATGAAGTGACAGGGCCAGATAAAAACAAAAAACAGGCCAAGGCACCCCATGATAGCCAAATAAAAAAAAATGGTCAAGGCACCCCGTGATAGCTGGAAATGGTACAATATGACGGAGCTATGAAGTCAACATACCAGGCTGGTTTATAATCAAAACAATATATTTTGAAATAAAACAAAATTCCATTGTAACATTGAAAAACTTTAACAACTAGAAAGAAAAGGACTTTCTTCAACCGTTCGAAACAAAATATGTCTTGTATTGTGCATTTTGCAGTTGATTTAGAACCTAAAAAAATTTTTTTTTTGCAAGTCAGAAAAAAATGGAGAGGACAAATCCGAGAAATGACAATTGAAATTAAATTGGTGTGGCCTAAAATGCACAGATTTATACTTCCTAACCTTAGTCAGGTCCAGTCTGTCTGCCTTTCTTGCCATCAGATATCCGAGCAGGAACAGACTGAACACAGTCAGGACTAAGATGAGTCCTATCGGGTTCTCCAAGATGTTTCCACTCGGCGTGAAGTCAATAGGATTGGGCGGGACGAACCCGGCAAACTTGGTCAGGTGGTCACAGCGGCAGTGGAGGTGGGTCATGTTGGAAAGTGGGCCCACCTGTTTAGAACAAATTCGTTTATTCCTTTATTTTGATACCTTTAGTCCATGACTAGTCTTCCAGGGTTCAAAACATATAAACATTTAGAACATACTGACAACAAAATTAAAAGAGAATGAACATACATAATCATCACAAATTATGTACAGGTTAAACAAAACCATCATGACTGATGTACAACTGGTGGATGGCCTTTATGAATTGCCGTGGACTGGTCAGTGTTTTGATACTGGGTGGCAGGGGGTTCCATAGATTAATTATGGTGCGGTAGAGAAATGTTCGCTTTATACTGTTTGTTTTTGGTTTAGGTAGTTGGAAACTACAAGAATTGGCAAATCAAGTTGAATACTTGTGGGTAAAAATTAATGGACGGGAACAATGGAGCTGTAGATGTTTTGGGGTTCATGACTGTTAAGAATTCTGAAAAACATATTTTAAAAAGTACTGGTAGCGAACCTTTCTCTGACCGTCAGCCAACCCAGATCTGCGTGCATTTGCTTGACAGGTGTGTCTAATCAGCATTTCAAAATCAATAAACAAATTGGTAAAGTGAAGCAGCAAAATGATCAGACTACTGTACATGTACAATCTGTGAAAAGTTTCGTCAGGTTGAACTAAATGAACAATAAAAGGATAATACAGCTCTTAAAGGCATCCAATACAATTTCAAGGTGGAAAACCTGGATTTTCAATTTCCTGGTCATTCTTTTAATGTAGCAAGTTTAGTCAACCGTATCCCATAGCATACTGATAGTGAGGCAAAAAAATGCAATGACATTGGCTGAAAATAGGCTGGTTCTAGCTATTTATGGCTGATGTGTTTCTTTTCTGCGTACATTATACTTTAAGCTAAATGATTTAAGAAGCTACAAAACAATGTATTAAATGTTGCTACATTGGTATGGTGCAATAGCTAAATAGTCTAAGAGTGCTCGCTTTGTAACCGGGAGGTCGTGAGTTCAAACCAGGGCTGGGTCATACCAAAGACTTTAAAAATGGTACACACTAAAAATGGTACACACTAAAAATGGTACACACTTCTTTCTCTGCTTAGCACTCAGCACATATAAGAGAGAGTGTGGGAAGGTCAAACACACAGCACTACCAGCGGACTAGCCCCCTGCTGTAGTGCCCTGCACAACTGTGTGTCGCCCAAGGGCTACTAAGGGAAATGGACATGGGCACCAAACCCTACATAGAGCACAAGAGACCATTGGTACAATGTATATAAAATGTCAATGATCTACATTCAACACTTACCTCGCAACCATCATCTTCCCATTGGTGGGATGAGTCTTCTCCGAAGTAGACACATGCACTTTCCAATATAGACACTGTGATACTGGTGTCCTCTCCATCATACTTCACACCTGCAGGAAATATTTTTTTATTTACTTCATAGGTAACCACAAAACAAGGCTCATGGGAGCCACTCAAAATGTTTTGGGTTACTGTATACAGCACAGTGAGGACAGATGTTTGTTGACCTTAGACTTGAAAAGTTTAAGGTTATACTCATAAGGGAAACAATCATGAGGTATACATAGTGATGTTCTTCTGGGAAAGAAGCTTTCAGCGTGGAACTTCCTCCAAAGAGGTGGTGTATGGAGGAAGAAAGGGTGATTTGGTTCAGTGGAAGTGGCAAGACGTGTTCTTGCTGAGAATGTTCAAAGTGGGGGCACTAGCCAATGAAGTTCCACGGAGCATTTACTGTGCATCCAAAATAAACCATTCATAGCACAGTTGAAAATTTGGCCCAATCTAGAGAAATAGAGAACGGACAATGAAGAACTGGCTGTTTAACTCTAAAGACCATGCAGCATTACAATACAATGTATGCCCTCATTGTAGCTGTTGTGGGATTGGAAGGGTGGCAAAGCACTATGGGTATTGGGGTGAAAGATGCCATCACCGATTTCCTTGTTACAGTAGATGCAAACAAGGTCATACCTAAGAAGAAAGTTGTGTTGTTTTGTAAGTCCGACTCCGTAAGATTCAGAGCTTCGGGTGGCAGAAGCCAGGAGTACGGGTGGGATGTCAGGATTGTATTGTTGTATGTGTGCTGCAGCTGTAGTGTATACAGCTGGTCCTGTGGAACAGGTAGCGCAGCTGTCCAGCTGGCAGCTTTAAAGCTGTGCGCAGTCGGCGGGGATGCTCTCTGCCACACCAGCTGCATGTGTGGCGGGTCCAGGTCTGGCTGGCTGGTGCTGTTGCTGGTGCTGTTGCTGATGATGTTGCTGGGTTGCTGGTGATGATGCTGTGTTGCTGGTGATGTTGATGTTGCTGGTGATGTTTGCTGGTGATGTTGCTGATGATGTTGCTGGTGATGTTGCTGATGATGTTGCTGGGTTGCTAATGATGTTGATGTTGCTGGTGATGTTTGCTGGTGATGTTGCTGATGATTTTGCTGGTGATGTTGCTGATGATGATGCTGATGATGTTGCTGGGTTGCTGATGATGTTGATGTTGCTGGTGATGTTTGCTGATGATATTGCTGGGTTGCTGGTGATGTTGATGTTGCTGGTGATGTTTGCTGGTGATGTTGCTGGTGATGGTGATGTTGCTGGTGCTGGGTTGCTGGTGATGTTGCTGTTGCTGATGATGTTGATGTTGCTGGTGATGTTTGCTGATGATGTTGCTGGGTTGCTGATGATGTTGATGTTGCTGGTGATGTTTGCTGATGATGTTGCTGGGTTGCTGGTGATGTTGATGTTGCTGGTGATGTTTGCTGATGATGTTGCTGGGTTGCTGGTGATGTTGATGTTGCTGGTGATGTTTGCTGATGATGTTGCTGGTGCTGGGTTGCTGGTGATGTTGCTGTTGCTGATGATGTTGCTGGTGCTGGTAATGGTGCTGGGTTGCTGTTGCTGTTGATGTTGAGTAGGATGGTGAGTGCAGTCATGGTCCTCTTGGGCTGGAAGCGGACAACCTGCACACAGGCAATCATACATATATTGTAAATATATGAACCTGCACACAGACAATCATAGTGTTTTTCTTACTTAGTACAAGTGTACACAAGTGTACACTATATGGAACAAAACCATCTCATTGGGTACACATGTACATCTAGGTCATCAAAACAGTTCTGTGAAACTCTTGCCAAAAATTCTGCAACATAAATTTGCTTAATGAATGAGGCATCAACTACTGACCTAGTACAACTTTGCAGGCTCTCTTTTTAACTGATTATATAGACTTGGACTGGGCAGCAGAGAGGCCGGGGTACCAAACAGGACATGCATACTCAAGCAGGCATTGTACAACACTACAGAAATTCCAGTCTGCAGTTGGCTTTGGTGATAATTATGCTCAGTGTACAAAATACTTTTTTTAACCAGGTTGCTCAGTGGCAACCTACAGCAAAAATTAGGTTGCCCATCAGAATTTTAGGTTGCCCCACCTATAAGTTACTACTTTCCTCAAATTAAGTAATTTTACATACATAAGCCTTTCAATTGGCAATATTTCTAACAGCCTTTAGTTAACTGATACTAGTAATAGGCATTAATACCCAAAATTAAAAAGCATCTGCCGGATACAGTTGTGCAAGCCAAGTGGGCACAATTTTGGGGGTTGGGGCATTCTTAAAATTCAGGTGACACACTGGGCTACCTAGGTTCAAAAATAGTCAGTACAGGTGGGGGTGGGGCATTTCGCATTATCATTACATCTAATGTAGATACAGGTGGATGGAGAAACCATACTCACAAGGATGTCATCCCTGCTTCTGACCCTGCCTGTGTACTTGAACACAGAACTTGTAGTGCGCTGTTTGTCCCTGGGGATGATCATGTCCACAGGTTCTGGGAGGTCGTGCACCGGGCGCCTGTCCCGTCCCTGCCACACCGTCAGGCCCGCCACCTCCGAACCTACATCAGGGGAGTTTCCCGCGTACCGGAAAGGGTTGAAGTCCGAGTTGATTACCTGCAGACATTGCACAGTATTGGGAAGAACAAAATATTCCTGGTGAGTGCATGGTGACACAATAACTGAAAAGGGAATAGAAGTTCGTTGAACAGGTTCATCAGTCAGGTAGTTTTTACTTATCAGAATTATCAGTCTCGACCTAGTCTCATGTTCTCACGAGACTACAATGTAGGTCACTCCGTGATCAAGATGTACAGTGGACATCGAAAATTTGGAGGTACGTGTTTCTACCTTTCAAAAGAGTCACTGATTGAGGAATATACTTAGTCTACTCACTGGAACAGAAGTTGAGTTAACTTTCTATAACGATAGACTAAGTTCGTTTTAAATTCATTTTGTAACCGTCTCTGTTCATCTTGTTTTGTTGTGACCTGTCCTTAGCCTGAAATGTGGCAAAAAAAGTATTGGATTGTCTCTCCTGCCATCTTTTCTTTCAATATGTTTAGGAGAATTGATCAGAAACAATTCAATAACTAGTCCGTACTGTGATAGCACTTAAAACTGGAAGTAGATTCTAAAATTCATAAGGGACTTATGTAAAAAAGCATTCACCTCCACTTCAAAGCTATCCTCACAACTGTTGCTGAGGAGGTTGAATGCTGGGACTACAAAGAGGACGTCATTGACTGTGAACACCTTCTTCTGGCCAACTTGACAAGGCTCCTTCTGGACCTTGGCATGAAGCGATGACATCTCAAGTGAGGCACTCCCGGTCCCATCAGCTGCCATCAGGGTGTCGTACATGTGAAGCACATTGCTGATGGCCTTGAAAGCTGTGCCGACTGTTTTATTGTTCTGTGAACAAAAGTGGTATGAGACTTAGCGCTATGTGCAGAATTCTGGTTTATATTGGTGTGCCCATGTAAAGCCTTGGTCACAACCCGCAGTACATGCTTTTTGGGAGGCTACGTCTGCTACAATTTTTCTGAAAACGTGGGGAAGAAGTGGCGTTGACGCACGTCATTCGCACGGTTGCGCAAGGTGTAAGAGTGTGGTCTGCACGCTACGTCTGGCCATGAGCAGATGCGTGCATCATTCATTGTGCAAGTGGTGAGTACGATCTCTGTGCGATTACAACTTTACCGTAAGGAGGCCGTACTCACATGTGCGTCTTATGTACGGTACATACATGTATGAGGCACGCGCATCGCCTGTACTTGCACGTACAGGTGGTGAATCCACAGGCCGCACGCAGAAAAAGTTTTACATGCACTTAAAGTTCTACGGCGTGTCTGCATGCTTTCAAATCCATAGGATTCCGTACGGAGGTGGTACTCACTACGCACGGATGCCCTACGTTTGTCCACGTTTTTGCACGTAGACAACACGCAGAAGCACGTACGGCAGGTTGTGACCAAGCCATTAGACATCCTTATTCATGTGTAATGTTGTACCAGGTGTACCAAGCATTTAACATGACACTGCATGATATAACATAGCACAAAGACTTTGGAATTAAAGTCAAGATACATTAAATTTATTAGAATATGCAGTAGTGGTGGGTCTGAGGGCACATCGCTAGTCTGGAGGTTCATGGAGTTCACAATTACCATTTAGATTAAAATCAGTCCCAATGTGCAAATATTACTACAGTAACTAGAACAGCAAGTAATAGTTTGAAATTGGCTATTCACAAATGATTGATGTATTATAATTCTATATCTATAAAGACTAAGTCTTACAAGTTCAGTTGTCTCTTGTAAATTGGACCCTTCAACATCCAGGTCAGAGGTTGAAGTAGACTCCATCAGGATTGCCATACCTACAGAGAAGGGTAAAAATTATGTATCAATAGTTTATTTCTCAAGTACACACAATACTGTATCAAAACATACTCAAGAGCAGAAACAATAATATTGTTCTGGTTCTGTACAGACTATTTTTCTGAATCCCAAAAAGTAAATAAATCATCAACTTGACATTGAGACTGGACTAGGCAGCAGTGATATTATACAGCATTCTTGTAAACCCCCCCAAGTACCCTCAAGGCAGTCGGTATGGCCCTTCCCGCGCTGATTTTGATGGATGTGCTCAAAATAGAATTCTCACCAGAGACAGGACCAGTGTGAAGTCGCTAGTAGAATAGTCAGTGTGAATGGAAGTTCAGGGACAGGACCAGTGTGAAGTCACTAGGAGGATAGACAGTGTGAATGGAAGTTCAGGGACAGGACCAGTGTGAATTAGTCACTAGGAGGATAGTCAGTGTGAATGGAGTTCAGGGACAGGACCAGTGTGAAGTCACTAGGAGGATAGTCAGTGTGAATGGAAGTTCAGGGACCAGGGACAGGACCAGTGTGAAGTCACTAGGAGGATAGTCAGTGTGAATGGAAGTTCAGGGACAGGACCAGTGTGAAGTCACTAGGAGGATAGTCAGTGTGAATGGAAGTTCAGGGACAGGACCAGTGTGAAGTCACTAGGAGGATAGTCAGTGTGAATTGAAGTTCAGCACCAGGGACAGGACCAGTGTGAAGTCACTAGGAGGATAGTCAGTGTGAATTGAAGGTTCAGCACCAGGGACAGGACCAGTGTGAAGTCACTAGGAGGATAGTCAGTGTGAATGGAAGTTCAGCACCAGGGACAGGACCAGTGTGAAGTCACTAGGAGGATAGTCAGTGTGAATGGAAGTTTAGCACCAGGGACAGGACCAGTGTGAAGTCACTAGGAGGATAGTCAGTGTGAATGGAAGTTCAGGGACAGGACCAGTGTGAAGTCACTAGGAGGATAGTCAGTGTGAATGGAAGTTCAGGGACAGGACCAGTGTGAAGTCACTAGGAGGATAGTCAGTGTGAATGGGAGTTCAGGGACAGGACCAGTGTGAAGTCACTAGGAGGATAGTCAGTGTGAATGGGAGTTCAGGGACAGGACCAGTGTGAAGTCACTAGGAGGATAGTCAGTGTGAATGGAAGTTCAGGGACAGGACCAGTGTGAAGTCACTAGGAGGATAGTGTGAATGGAAGTTCAGCACCAGGGACAGGACCAGTGTGAAGTCACTAGGAGGATAGTCAGTGTGAATGGAAGTTCAGCACCAGGGACAGGACCAGTGTGAAGTCACTAGGAGGATAGTCAGTGTGAATGGAAGTTCAACACTATCACCTGACATTACATCCGTTTGTCTTGAAAACAAATGTTAGTATTGCTGTTCATTCCGTGGGATATAATGTTTCCATTTCCACACACCTGTGAAGATGGTTGCAGATGCTGTATTGATGTTGCTCACTTGGGTACTCCCAGTTTTGTCATTTTCCACCATCATCTTCATGGATTCTGCTGATTTTTCTAGACCTCTCGCAACCTTCAGCTAAGGCAGGAAAGAAAACATTTGCTTGTACCTGACCTTCACAAGGAAATGTAGCTAACAGAGAGGGCTGATAAGCCATTGGATCACAATTCATTTATTTGCATTTCAAAGATAATAACTACCGGAAGGAAATATAAAAATGAAGTATAATTACAGTAATAGGGGGGCCATGAACAATGTGCACAGACATACAGGAAGCTGACGTACACTAATACTGACAAAGCTCGTCAACACTGAGCCTACAATTTGTAAACATGCAGTCCTTATAATGCCCTACAAAGGTCAGTCGCTAAGTTTGCAACATCACAAAGTCTGCATGTTGTCATCATATTTAAATGCCCTTCTCATTAATATTTTTAAAGAAAAAATACAGAACTGTGGCAATTCCAAACTACATAAAACTTTCGTTTTCATTTCAAATTGATATGAGCTACAAGTTGTTCCAAACTGTGAGATCCCTGTACATGATTTGATTATTACTACTTGAAGACTATTGCATTCTCCCCTCACAAAAGCTCAAACCAAGTAAATTATCCTACTGTATCATCATTGGAGAGTTTCTCCAGGTCGGCAGTGTGCATAACTAGCAGGGATGAAAGGTCCATGACCGCATTGACGTCTTGTAGCGGTATCTGTAACAGGCTATCAAAATCCACAGGCTGCCCCTATACAGTAAAGAAGAAAAACAAAACATTTCAATGCTGGCAAGCACTATCCAACCTTACCTTTAGGACATCAACAGCACACTATGTTATGCACAGAAGAACAAGGGACTTTCCCCCATTCTGAAAAATGTTTGAACTGTAATTTTCGACACAAAAATTGAACTCCAGTCTTTGTCAAGAGAGGAGCAATCCACAGCTTCTGTGACTTCACATTACAAGGAGGCATGTGTGAAGTTGAAAAATTTGGATTAAGTTCAATTTTGCGTTTTGTGTTTGTGGCGTCGGGTGGTGTAGTAGTTACAGCATTCGACTATGAAGCGGGGAGACCCGGGTTCGATCCCGAGTTGTACCCGACACATGTCTGGACATGCGCCTCGACGTTGTGCCCTTGGGAAAGGCACTTTACACGAATTTCCTCACTCCACCCAGGTGTGAATGGGTACCTAACTTCAGTTGGGGAAATTCGTATTGAGGTAACCTTGTGGTGCCGAAAGGCAGCCGCACAGACCCTTGCGACAGTTCCACAAAAAATTGGGGAAAAAATATGTGTATTATTTGATTGTTGTGATTTGTATTGATTAATATTATGTGATACCCTGCATCAATTCAGCCGTATAAAGGCCGCGACTGCACAGGTACTGTTTGGACAATAAAAAACATAAAAAATTACAGTTCAAACCTGCTTCATGATCAGAATGACTTATACCAAGTTGAACACAGAATGATGAACTTTCAAGCTAAGACTTACCCCACTGTCTTCTGTGATGTTGAATTCTGCAACTCTCCCATCTACAGAGATAACCTCCAGCTCTATGGTGAAGTTGTTTGGGGGAAAGAACTTTGGGCAGTACCACGGAACCTTAAAGATAGTTTTAAAGGATACAGAATTACTTGCTGAGCAGTATTTGAGGAGTTAAAATACCATAGTACTAATTATGGGCTGCCCGAACATTGGCTCCTAAGGCCACATCAATTTAATTTTTTGGTTAACGGATTTTTCTAGAAAAATAATGGCGCGGGAAGGCGAAAAATAAATAAAAATAAAAACAGGCCTAGGCATCCTATAATGGCCCAAAATGGTACTGTAACAATAAAGTCAACACACCAGGCTGGTTCAAAATGTAAAGATGGTGAATTTTGAACTTTTAATGATATCACTGCATTGAAAGATGGAATAATTGTAACAAATAGGAAAAGGACTGTTTTCAACTGTTCAGGGCAAAATATGAGCATTTTGCAGTTGATTCTGAATTTTTTTAATTTTTTTTTTATTTTTTGCAAATCAGAAAAAAATGAAGCGGGTAAATCCGTTAACCAAGAAATTAAATTGGTGTGGTCTAAGTAAAAATTAAACAATGGGCGTGAATCCATGACATTGTGGTTGTGATTTCACAACAGTCTGAACTTCTTTTATTCAAATAGCTCCGTGTTTAACTCAGTCAACTAACAGGTTTAATGAACACGTTACAATTGGACATCACTTAGTGCTTCATGCCTCAGACATGAAGTATTGTAGCGGTTGATCATGCTAGTTTGCTGATTATTGATAGTGTAATATGTTTAATAATGTTGCTGTAATATGATGTATATAAGTATCATTCTGTTAGTGTTTCGTAAATATTTTTTTTTCAAAATGGAATCATGTACTAACATTTTTGCACCCAAAAAAAAAGATCATTTAATTGACAAAAAAGACTTGTATTTGCTTTCATTTGTGTTGTGTTTACTCTCACATTTGTGTTGTGTTTACTTTCACATTTGTGCAATTGTCTCACATTACCGTCAGCGCTAAATCGGCCCACATAAGGCATGCACACTCAGTTTGTGGTACCACCACAAACTACCAGAATGTGAACAAACATGGCTGACAGCTGTATTTCAAGCTTTTAAAACACACTCAAACGGTATAATACTTTGGCACCTCCACTTCCTGAATGGCAACTATTTGCAAAGGAGTATGGTTGATTCAACTTACTTTGTAAAGAAATGTAAGGAAATTGACTTTTTGTATTCATAAATTAATGCTTTCAAATTAATAAATTTTGTCAACCTATTACCTGGCTGAAATAAGGTGTGAATTGGAGGGATGCCTGCAGAAAAGGTGCGTCTTGAGGGAACTGAATCCAGCCCATCTCTACATCCACAGGTGAATGAATTATTGCAAACTTGTAGGTAACATTGACATGGCCAGAGTCATCGACGAACTCTGCAAATTTAAAGTGAAGACATGGCAGGCAATAAAAACTATAAAAGATCAAATGATGTGGTGTTCATAAAAAATAGCACACAGTCTCGGCTTCCCTGAAGTACTACTTCAGTGAGCAAGCTGCTTGCTCAACAGAATTTGAAACATTCCATCCTATAGATACATGTAAATTCAACAATAACATTCTAGGAGAGTATAAACCGTTAAACTGTGTACAAAGAGTTAAATATATCAAAGAATGTTTAAACCTTGGAACTAGCAGTTTGAGTTTAAGTTATACATTAAACTTGTATTACGTATTACTTAAAGTTAATTCATTCTTATCCATGCACATGTTTGTTTGTACATTATCAGACCTTACAAAAGTCACTGTACAATACTTTTGTTGTGTTTGTAAGTAAAGATTGGTGACTATGTTGAAATGACACAGTACACTACCAAAAATGTTTTTTCTTATTTTTCTTAATAATATTTTGTTATGTTGAGAAATATTTTAGGGGATATTCAAGAAAATTCAAGATTCTTCAAAGATTTTGTATCAATGTTGATTCTTACACAAAGAATTTTATTCTTCTTTTTTCTTAAGAAAAGAATCTTAAGAATTTTTAGAATTTTAAGACAGTTTACAGTATTTTTTCCTGGTACAAGAAATCTTTTCTTGTGTACAGAATGGTTTTCTTACTTCAAGAACAGTCAGCTCTTATTTCAAGAAATATTTTCTTGTGGACAGAATCATTTTGTTGCTACAGAAAACTCAAGAAATACATATTGTGTTTCTTGAATTTTCTTGCTTCGGGGATTCTTTAATGTCTTGTTAAAAAAATCATTTTCTTGCTACAAGACACATTTTCTTTGTACAAGGAAAAACAAGAAAAACAAGAATGTAGAGCTGGTAAACTGACCTCCACAGCACACACATCTGCCTTCCCCTACATGTTCTATCACACAGGGAGTGGTCAGACCCTTGTTCCGCATTGCTGGGGGACCAGAAACTGTGAACGTCCACTCTGACACTGCCAGGCCATCGCTGCAGACTCCGTTGCGGTTGACAACACGCAGAATGTACGTTCCTGACACCTGCAAGTGAGAATATGACCAATGCTATATTATTAACCTTTATTGTACATTCATGCCCTATCGGGCTAAGTACAGGTGAACAGATGAAAGGATAATATACAGGATAATATACAGATAGTATACCATTATGTGGTGTTGGTGATAAAAATAAAATATAGTTACGGTGGTTACACTAAAGCATCTGAAAACTCACATTGAATGTGTTGCTTGCGATGACAACTTCTGGTTGTGTACTGTTCATCTGGAGACCTCCAAAGCCCTGGGGGTGCTCCACCACTGTCCACTCATACCAGGGGGTCTCACTGCTACCTGGAACAGCCTCCAGCACCAGATCCTCGGATGAGTTTGTGTTCGACCAATCACAGTTGTTGATGCAGCTACAGTCAGGCAACAATGCAATTGATAAGATTAAATCCAGTCTGAGAGCAATGAGAATAGAGTATATAGAGAAAAGCGGATACTGTTTCAGTGGGTTTGAAATATGCAGACATTTGATCAAAAATTTTATAGCTTTCCCCATAGTTGACCCTCAAAAAGGCTATGTAGGACTCAGTGATTATTTATTTGCTAGGACAGGGCTCGAAATTCATTTTGGTGCACTGGTGCACCCAACAAGTAGAATGTCAGCAAAAACTAATAACATTTGCATGATTTATAAATATTGTTACTTTTGTTTCCTTTTTTTGATTCTTGGTATCAAGAATATTCTGTATACTAACTAATAATACATGTAATACATTTAGCATCTTTACATATGTAAATCTACGAAAATTGCACCCACAGAAAAAAAAATTGGGTGCACAGCTCCAAATTTGGGTGCTCTTAGGTGCACATGCACCCAGTATTTCCAGCCCTCTGTAGGGTCAGTTTAAGGAAACTGGAAACACAACACAACTGTGTAAAGCTTAGAGTAGAATGGATCTCACCGTATGGCCAGCCCACAAGCCCTGTTGTCCTGGAAAACCACAACCTGTGATGCCTGAATTGATGATACAATGCCTCCTGGAGAGGAAGCCTGCACTGTGAAGTTGAAGGTAGTCCCTGCTGGTTGATTTACCCTGTAGTGGAGATGGCTTGTGTTTCCACAGGCGTCTGGGTGTGATAAACAGTAAGTGTTAGATGTCTGTCAGTACTAAATTTAGGATGGCACGAGAAACACAACAGTTGGAAGGCACATACATTGTATGGAACCTGTCAGTGATATAATTTCAATTGGTAACAGACCATAAAAGTTAAAGCCCTGGTCACATCCCGCCATACGCTTTTTGTCCTACTACGTCTACGCCTGCTACGTTTCTTCTGAAAACGTAGGGTGACCGGCCGAGGGAGTACGTCACTCGCATGGTTGCACAAGGTGTACGTACATGGTCTGCATGCCACGCCTGGCCGTGAGCGGCTGCGTGTATCGTTCATTGCGCAAGTGGTGAGTTGTAGTCTTGCTTACAACGTATTACAATGTGTGTTGCTGCGTACAGGCCGTACCTACACGTATACACGTGCGGCGTACGTACGGTTTCCTTACTCACTCGCACGTTGTAAGTGCGTACTGCACATGCGATAGGCTGTATGGGGCACGCGCGTCCACGTTTTTGAACGTAGGCAGCACGCAGAAGCACGTACAGCGGGTTGTGACCAGGCCTTAGAGGTACATAGCCTTTTTGAGGCTATAGGGGGTTGGGTTGTTGTGTTTAGGGTTGTGTTTAGAGAACCTGTAACCTGTCCTTCTGATATCTGCTTTCCTTATGCCACTTTACCATTAGACATCAACAAACCGTATGCGAACATAGACTCCGCCCTTCATGACTGAGGCAAAGAGGAATTTAACACACCTTGATTCTCGCAGACGTAGTACATAGAGTTACTGCACTGGGTGTTTGCCCACTTGTAGCTACTGTAGTACTTAAAGTACACACAGTCACCGGACAGCTTTGGCTCAGAAGGACCCCAGTTTTGGTAGTCACTGTGATTCAGAATGCTGCCGTCACTCCTGACAAACTGGAATTAAAAATAAAACTCACTCAAAATACTTCAGAGAGAACTTGGTAAGTCATTATTGTCATATCAGTGGATCAGGGGAATACCATGGTCCCAATGCACATCTCAGGGCTCGAAATACTATAGGTGCATGTGCATCTTAGTGCACACAAAATTGGAGCTGTGCACCCAATTTTTTTTCTGTGGGTGCACTGGTGCACCCAAATATTTTTGTAGGTATTTTTGTACATATCAAGTGTATAATAGTATGCAGAATATTCTTGTCATCTAAGTGTCAGAAAATATAAGTCTTTGTTGTAGTACTTGTTTAAGATTTTAAAGTTAGTTCCCATTTCAGTGTTAAGCTCAGAAGAGGAGCAGTAAGATCTGTAATTACGTTTTATTTTATATGGTGCACCCAAAAAAATTTTTATGTACCTAATTTTTTAGGTTGGGTGCACCAGTGCACCTATTCCCAAAAGTGAATTTCGAGCCCTGCATCTACATACACCACGACAAATGAAACAAGAAATTCTTTAGCACCTTAAATGAGCCTTGCCTTTTATCCAGAAAAAAGTGCTGTTTGATAGGCAGGAGTTGAAAAGCTTCTAGCGTCCAAGGTTAGCATGGACAACATCCTAGCCTAGTCACAAGAAAGATTTAACTCCACAAGCTATTCTGTATCTGTATCTGTATAGCCAGTATAACACACCAGCTTCGCAGGCACGCTGCGCGGCGGAAGCTTGCTATATAACACCGATCGACTTGTAATACCTAACCCTTGAACTTCTAACTCTAGACATTGTTTAAAGCTATCTAATGACAATGCCCCTACTGTACTTGGTGACAGTGAGTTCCACTCTGCGATAGTTCTAGGAAAGAATGAATTCTTGAACACCTCAATCCTTGGTTGATAACTCTGGTACTTGAAGGCATGGCTATTTCTTGTTCTCTTCTGGGCTGGTATTAGGTACTTAGTAATTGGTACGTCCACTAGTTTATTAGTCATTTTGTACATCATACATAGTCTGGACATTTTTCTTCTGTCTTCCAGGGAGGCCCACAAAGCTTCACAAAGCTTTTACATAGAATTCAAGTTATACTGTCTTACCGAATTCCCACTCAGTTTGTCCAGGCCGATCCATGTGTTGCTCCTGATGTTATCCCTGAGGAAACTGTCCATTTCAGCAGTCTTGACCACGACGAGACGTGCCCCCTCTGCCTGACATGTTGCCCTGGCATCCTCGTACGTTTTGTAGTCAGTAGAGAACTTCAGACATGTGCCCTCAGCTTCTACGTAATTGGTCAGGCAAGCTGGAAAGTTTGAAATGGAAAATACAACTTGAAAGTACATACAAATACAGCATATTTGACTTCATCTCCATCTCATTCCAAAATGGACTGTTCCATACCAACCTTTTACATAAATGGACTATCCCTAAGTTACTTTTGCTCACAATATCAACCCACTCTGAAAAGTTATGTTATTATTTACTACTATACGACCCAAATTCAAATGCGAAATACTACCACCATACCAAGTTCCAGGTCACTTTGCATTCATTCAATGATGCAGGAACCCAAAATATACATTATTTTTGGTCTAAAAATAGCAAAAAATGGCCAGTATGAATAAAGTCCTGTGGACATATGCCCTAGCTATAGGCACCTTCATGCCAAATTTTGTTTACTTTTAATCCCTGGGCACATAGGAAGCAAAATACATTAATTTTTAAGTCTAAAAATACCCCAAAGTCCCAAAATACAATGTACAACTGTCATATAAAATGTTAAAGCTGTTGTGCATGCCAAATGTATTTACTTAATGGATCTCTGAGGATATATGTCCAAGGCATCCCTAAATTGAAGTTCAGGTCATTTGATTTTAATACAGGGAGCCCAAAATATACATTTTAACCATCTAGAAATTGCAAAAAAAAATACCAGACTGTATCATTTTAAAGTAGAGAATCCCAAAAGAAGACTTAAAAGTTATTTGGGCACCAAGGCACAACTGTACCAAATTTCATGTCATTTGATTGTAATACAGAAGAACTTTATTGTGCAGCAGATGTAGCAGGCACATCGTGTGGCAAAATACACATACATAGTTGGTGATGCTAACATACATGTACATAGTTGGTAATGCTAAAAATATTGATTCAGTTCTACTAACTTGTACTAAGAATCTGGTCCACTTTCATAAACAATGTATAACAATAAAGAGGACACTAATTATACTAAATCTAACTCTATTGACAGTAATATATTGTGTCAGGAATTTATTACATTTTTTCGTTTTGTCAGCATGCATTAGGTGATTCGTGGTGCCACCAGCTTGGAATCCACATCCAAAAGGATCAAATTTTTAAAAAAGAGAATTATGTAACCCTCACACTGTCCCCAGCAGGGTTTGACCCAGGGCCTGTGATATTAAGATAAAAAAAAAATTTTGGTATCAACTTACAGCCATCACTTGTCTGACAAGTCCAGGTAAAGTTGAGATCTGACATGGAGACCAGACCCTCCGGATCCAAGGACACTGAGGCATTTACCCAGAAGTCATCTGAGATGTGCCGAGTGACCAGGGACGGTCCCAAGGTCATCCCCAAGGGCATCAACACTACCCTTAGCCATGTCTGGTGTACGTAGTCTACATGTACGTCACTGTTCTCTGTCTGAGCCACGATGGTCACCTGGAACTGTACAGATGGTAAAAGTACAGTCAATTCAAGACTAGTTGATGAACTTTGGAAGCATGGCAAGGCTGTACACATTATGGAAAAGCAGGCCTTAAAGATGCAGTTTTTAGGGCTTGGGAACCCGATTTTTCAGAGCCAATATTCTAGTCATTTATTTTCATACTGAGTTGAAACAACACTATCCCAACGTATACTGACATTCATGGAGCAAAAATGCCCAAAATCCTGACAAAAAACAGTTACTGGAAGGGCCCTGGGCTGATTTTTAGGGTACCACCCAGAAAACAAAGGACTCATCTTGGGGCTTGTTTCTGCAATTTTAGATGCCCAAAGTATGAAATACTGATTTAAATGTGTCAATATCACAAAGATTGCTTTATTCAGAATATTTCCAGTTTGCTGCCCTGAAATCACATTGGATACCTAAATTAAAATACTTTTTTCAGCATACTTGCACTGGACCTAACATTCAAAATTACCAACACCAGACAAATTTTACCAGCATCACTCATACATTGAGAAGTACATTGTATTTAAGACTTTTTTATACATGTACTTAAGACTTTTCAGAAACCATTGCCATTATTTCTTTGATTTATACTTTTCATAGGTCTTAACAGTCAAGGCAGCAAATAAAAATCAACATATACCTACAAGTATCTATTAACTAAGTACATGGACCAGTACAGGCTAGGTGCAGGTAGATTCTACTCAGAAATACCTGTACAGCCCTAATTTTACCTGCACTAAGGTGCAAATGCACCCAGTACTGTAAGTCTACAAATTTCCGCGGTATATTTAGATTCGCGGCATTCGCGGGGACCTTTGTACCGCGAATCTATTTCCCCGCGAATATGTTTTGCGTAAGTGCGCCCCCCTCCCCACATGCATTCACGACGGTAAGCGAAACACAAACACACGCGATTCACAAATCACTGCAAATCAACTTTATTCTTAGCAAATGTTGAGTACCAAAATTTTTTTAAAGTTATACTGATGTCAAAAAATTATAATATTATGAGACACCGAATCGCGATACTGCGGCACTGGCCGTGTCAACCGTGTACCGCCGAAAAAAATCTATGCGTGCAGAGCGCTGGCCATGCGTGCCCGGGCGCTTGAAAATTGCGGGAACATCGGGCATACCTACAAGTATTTTTATGAAAAATATAACGGCTGGTACCTGGGAAATGTTAAAGTTGGTTATCTTTTGCGCCCTGCTTTGCGGGCGTTTTTTTCTTCTTCTTGTTTTGCTGGATAGAAACGCTCACCGCGCCGTGGGCCTACAAAGCCGAATGCGACCTTTGCATACTTCCGGGTTCAAAATCTCGCCGAAGACGGCATAAATTTGCTTAGTAATATATATATTCTTACGATTATGCATTTCTTAACTAGAGTATCGATATGTAGTCGTAGAAAATAGCATTTTAGCGCTTATTTCCGAACAAAGAAAATTGTTTACACGTGCGTCAGATCGATCGTCAGCTTTACCACCGGCAGTCTCGCGCGGTGCACGAAACACATTTTTGCGCCGCGGAGATAAATGCCGGAACACGAACTTTTATTATTTTAAATATACACTTTACAAATTTTTCTTTGAAAAATAGCCAAGGAGAAATCGCGAATCTAAAAATACCGCGGATTGTCCATTTT